AGAAATTAGATTCGACGCATGGTGGTTCTATCATGTTTCGGCGTAACAACAAAATAGCGTAAAAAGCATAAAGTGACTAGACATAAACTGATGTTGAAATGAAATGATATGATTGGTCGGCGCACGCTTACGCAAGTTACGCCGCATGTGACGGCACCCTAATGTTTTAGAATGGGTGTGTTTAACTAAACGAAACTAAAGAATGAAATAACTATGATTGGCCAGTTTCATAAAAACAGTTTTAACTAAAACGGTTTTACCAGAGTGTGTAACGGGCTGCGCAGAATAAATGGAACAGAGAACAGGGAACAGAAAATAAGAATTTCAGCCTATCAGAAACTATGTATTCCACAGTACATGGTTTCTCAGAGGTTGAAATTCTTATTCTCTGTTCCCTGTTCCTTTTTTTCTGCGTAGCCCTTAACAAAGGTCAGTAAGCTCTAATATACAGGAACGAACCATCGAGGAGTAGGGGTGTCCCAATTCCTAAACAAGGACACTCGCATAAAGATACAAGGTTGTTACGTTTTAAACAAAACGTTTAAAACGGCTTGTTTAAAACATGTTTAAAACATTGGGCATTGTTTAAAACACTTTTATTTTAAACGTTTTTAAACTGTTGTTTAAAACTGTTTAAAAACACCGCAATTAAAACATGTGATTTGGAAAAGAAATTGTAAAGAATAAACAAAAAAATAATTGTATGTTGCAAAAATCATGTTTTTATTTATTTATATATTATATTTAGTTTATACGCTGATCGTTCAATACTCATACTAAGTAGTAATTTCCTATAAAATTATTTTAATATCGGCAGTGTGCGTACTGTATTCAAAGAATGGTGTACAAAAAACTAAAATAATACAATAAATACCAAGATAATCAATTAAATACATGTAATGTGTATTAAATTAATAGAAAGTTGCTAGTTGTTATGAGTATATATACATATCTATATATACAGGGTCATCGAAAAGTATCGGACCCCACTAATATCTTCAGTTAGAATGCATTTTGGAGAAAATGTCCAATAGCAAAGTTGCAATGGTTTCAGGTGAGGAGTAAGATGATGACTTTGATCTTGACCATGTCCTTTAAGGTCATTTCAAGGTCAACCTTATGTTTTTAAATGGAACCCCCTACATTTTATTGCATATTTTTATAGCTTATCTCGAGAGTTTGATGGCACAACTACACAAGTTGACACAAGTCGACACAAGCTTCGTTCTATCCTTCTTGACATTCAAAAAGTGACAACGATAGAATGACATTTATGTCGACTTATGTCATCAAATGGAAAACACCCAATAACTACACTATACATTTTTGCCACTTACTTCGTGATGAATTGCAACATGTAGACTGGTAATTAAAATAAAAAATGAAATTGAAATGAAATAGTAAAAATGATAGATTCCAGAACGTTCGGATACAGATCTTTGAAATAATTAGAATAAAATAAATCAAATAACACGTGTATCCTTGTACGCTCATACTTGCTTGATACTTGTACTTGTTTGTTTCGATGCGGTTATGGCACGGGCAAACTAGCGCCAGCGGCACCAGCGCGACGTGCGACGCGATATGTGACATTGAGGTGATATTTAGATTCGAAAGGTCATGCAGTATTCCTGATTTATCAGCCTGATTTACCCGCAGAATCAATAAAGTCGATAATGAATTCGCGTACACTTTGGAAAAGCGCTCACACAACAAGAAACATGTTAATAGTAAAATAAATTAAAAATAATAATAAATAAAAATAACTAATTCTTTCAATTTCAGTTATTTATTATTCTTAATGACGAAAGATTCAAATATTCACACAA